TCTCAGCTCTTCTTGTCTCTTCAGCTTTTGGTTTTGTTGTTTGGTGCCGTCAAGTTGACCATGATTCAATGACCCTGTGAACAACTGATCTGAACACTGTCCTATCCCATGCCGTCCTCATATTCCCTGACAGACTTAGGCCCATTGCCACAATCAGCATGTCAACCCACCTAGTCGAGGGTCTTTCTCTCCTTTACTGCCCTCCTACCTTCCCAAGCATGATGTCCTTCTCCTAGCAAGAAACTCACCTAGCAGAAATAAACTCCCCTAGCCACATACCCAAGATTTGTAAAATGAAGCCTCATCATCCTTGCCTCCAAGAAGCATTCTGGCTGCATCTTTTCTAAGACTTGTCTGTTCATTCTTTTGATAGGACATGAGATCTTTAGCACTCTCCTCCAACACCACAGTTCAAAGACAGCAGTTCTTCTGTCATTTTTAGTCATTGTTCAGCTCTCAGATGCACAGCAAGTGAGCAAAAACACAGTGTTGCTGGGTAAGGGACATCGTGCTTGGAAAGGTTGAGGGCCGACAGAAGAGCGGAAAACCCTCAAGCAGGTAAATTGACAAATGATTCCAGGAGTTTCCTCGTGTGTGTCAGAGATTGTGAGGACGACACAGGTTAGGACCAGACTCAGATCTGTTATTTATAGGATCACTCTGGGTCGTACTCAGCTCTTGACAGCTTCTAGCAGCAATAACAACAACAACAATAACATACCTTCATAATACTGCTGAGTTCTTGACATAGTTTTGTCTTCTTCTGCCTTGAGGCCATGAGATATAAGTACGAAAGTGCAGCAGTTCTGTATTGAATGTTTTCATTTAGGCAGAACAACTACAGTTTGCACTGAGGCTAATTACGTTAACTCCATGGCCTCTTAAATTAATGTTGGACAGACTCAGAATTCAAGGAACATACTCCTATGAGAAAAAGGAAAAGTGTGAAGAATTCTGTAGTATTTCCAGTTGACTCATACTGTGTACTTCTCTTAACTGAATCAGTGTTCTTTTACGTTATTTCACAGATAAGGAGACCGGTACCTTATCTGCCATCTTCAGTAGTTGTCCTTTGTGTCACATTCATTCATTAGATTGATGGACTCTTGAATTATAGATGTCTGTGTGAGCGAACACGTTGGCACCATATTTGACACTTGGATAATTACCAATATGCTAATAATATCTCTAGTGTCCTGGCATGCACGGAGCACTCAGGAAAAGCTTAACGAAGAGACTCTTTTCAATGTTTGTTTGAGTCAAGAGAAAGATGAAGAAGAGTGGAGCACACCTAGTTTAGCAAGAGTAGGGGGGCCAGCATTACCCATAGGCCTGAAGAAAAAGGGAGGTGGACAGCAATTGGATACCAAAGAGAGTTCTTCCTCTAAAGATGACCTTGGCTTTGAGGGAGAGTGACCAAACATGGTATTGAGCTTTCACCTCGCTCCATTCTCACAATGGGGAAAGGATGTTGGCTCGATGTATAGCAAAGGCTAAAAGTGAATGAGGATTACTAAAACAACCTCTAAAGGTTCTTCTGCTATACAAGGCTTGGAAAGAGGTGGGAGTGTCATCCAGAGGGGAGAGTATGTAGCAATTTAACCATCATTCTGATTTTGCTGTTAGCTTCTGTTAAGTGGATTCGAATTCACCAGGCATCCATGAACTCAAGAATAAAACTAGCCCCAGCATTGCACCACCTTCACAGCCTTCGGAATGTGGGAGCCCACTGTTGCAGTCTTCATGCTTATGACATGCTGTCCAGTCCAGGGACTTCATCTTCCCAGCTCTGGTGAACATGATGCTATTGTGATGATGTTGTTATTGTTGCCGTGTGATGGTATGAGCATATACAGTTCTGCAACTGATGGACCCTTGTGGGGTTTTTCTTGACTCATTTAATCAGAAACCCCTCTGCCAAGATGCTTCACTTTGAGTCTGTTACAGACGCTACCTCAACTTTGCTATTTTCAGCTGGAAAAACACAGAAGTATTTTAATTCTAAGTGTCTGAGAGACATCACAGGTTTTTTAAACTTACGCTCTGACATTTCATTTAAAAGAAAAAAAATGACAAGAATAAGACATACCACTCTCCTTTGACTCTGAGGAAGCTACAGAAATTCACCTGCTGGATTAACTGGAGTCGTCACATCTGGAAAGCTCAAGCGATTCATTTCCATGAACAATGTTGCTGCTTCTCTTGAGGAATTGCCTTATCCCCTCCCCCCATCTATTATTAGAAGCATCCAATGAAGGACTTTAATTGCCTGTGACCTTAGAATACAGGGGTATGTAAGCTTTGGAGAGGAGCGCATGTTTTATCCTGGTAAATGTCACAGGAGTAAAGCAATATTCTAATATATACTAGTGAAAATTGGACTCCAGAATGAAGATGTTTAGAGTAGGAGTGTGGCCAGCTTGGCATCTCGGCATGCTAATGGTAAAGTTTGGCTCTTATTATTGTGCTTGTTTGCTTATTTCCTATACAGCACTGTTTCTACAATGATGTAGCCCAGAGTGTGTATTCTGTTTCTATTTTCCCTTCCCTTTTCATTATGTTTTTAGCCGGTTGAGCATCATCTATTGAGATATATTGTTTTATGTTCAACACAGTTGTAAATTAAACCGTGGCATCCACTTCCTAAGTAACATGTCTCTAGAAACTCTGTGAACTTTGAGAAATGCTGATAGTTGTAGAGGTGCTTCAGGCCTTTTGTTCACAGGGTCTCTAGGAGCCATGCTCGACTTGAAGGCAATGAACAACAACAACAACTGAAAAACTATTGTTAAACTAATGTGAATGTTTGGATTTGGCCAACAGAGTGTTATCTGACTTGGAGATCCAGATAAAAAAATGATGTCAAAGTCTAATAAAGTGCAGAAGAGCTTCGAGCTTTTCCTGGAGCCAGCGCACTGCCCATGGAGATTAGCTTTCTCTAGCCACTCTTGTGCCTTGTTGCTACTGACATGGTTCAGGGAAGAAAACTCCTTGAAAGTCTTCTGCAGACAGATGGCTTCATTGGAATATGTGAGTCCAAAAACTCAGGCAAACAGCTTCAGGAAGTGACCTAGAGAATAACTTACCCTTAGTTTGTAATAACCTTTGGGTTAGAACTGGAATGAAAAATTATTTTTAATTCAGAGAATGTTCTTTCCCTTAGACAAGAAATGCAACACCTTCACTCTTTATTATATGAGATATATGCAGAATGGTAAAGTTTGGGGATGGTGGGGAAAATTAGGATATGGTCTCTTCATAAGCTGAAAGAACATATGAAGACATTGTTGTTTGTTACTATGTGCCATTAAGTCAGAACCAACTCATAGCTGACCCTGCAGTGGGTTTGCCAAGGCAGTAAATTGCAAGGGAAATTGCCCATCCTTCTCCCAGGGAACAGCTGGTGGATTTGAACCATGTGTGTTTGAAATTGCAGCACCAGCTTCTAACCACTGGGCAACCAGAGCTCCCAAACAATTTTTTGTTGTTAACTATCATCAAGTTGCCCTAACTCATGGCTACTCCGTGCACAAATGAAGGAAAGGGGGCTGATCCTTGGGATATAAAGTGCAGGACACAGAAAAGTTAGTATCAGCTTGATAAGATACCTAACCAAAGCAAAACCTACAGCCAGCAAATTTATTTCAGTTCATAACGATCATTTAAGACCAAGTAGAGCTTCCTATAGAATTTTGAGGCTGTACATTTGCACAGAAGGCGACACTCTTTGTTTTGTTTTTCCCCATGGAACAGAGGGTGAGGTTTTGATTGGAACAGCAACCTTTTCATTGGCAAACTAATACCTTATCCACAGAGCCATGAAAGCTCCTTAATTGATCTTAAAGGTAAAACAGATTTGGACTGCAATATTCATCAATATGGAAATGTTGAAATGACTTATAGTTTATCCATACAATGAAAAGTCATGTGATTGTCAGAAGTAATGAGATAGTCTTTGGTCAAGTGACAAAAAAAGAAAAAAAAACCCAACCAAACCTCAAAAAGACATTGTTTTTGAGAGTCCTAGAACAATGCCTCTATGATATTCACATTTGTAGTTAAAAGTATAGATGAACTTCTGTAGGTGCATAGTATATGTGCATAAATTATGCATAACAAAAGGTCAGCTTGTTTACCTGGAAGAAAAGTATGGAAATAAGTTTGGAGAGGAATGAAGGAGAATTTTCAGTCACTGCAGAAATACCTTAGCAAATTGTGCTGCTTTAAAAAGAATATTATATTACCAGTGAAACAAATAAAGGAACATCCCATAGATGGGCACAAGAATATATCAGAAGAAAATGCACAAATATTTTAGCACTGTTGAATGTGTTATTTTTATTTCTAGTCTCAGTTTTATAAAATATTTATTCCTCTCACAGGAACTTTTAGAAAGGTTGTGACTAAATAACAATAATCTGATTGAATTGTGTTTTAAGACGTAGATGCCAAAGTATGGATTCTGATTGGTTGGTTGGTTGGTTTTGGTTCTAAAGATTCATTTCTTTCTTTCATCTCTCTAATGTATTTGTGAGCTCCAGAATAATTTATCTTTGACCTTAGAGCCTTCAGGCTATTTATGTATTTACTCCTCTTGCAGGGAATTGGGGCCTGTGATAAATTGTGGGATGGCTTCACTTATAGGGCTCTCTTGGTTAGCTGAGGCTGAGTTATTATTAACACTTCATTTCTTAGAGAAGAGCTGGACATTCAGTTTACTTTTTAAAGTGTATGTTTTATAACAATTCTTTGTATAAGATAAATTGTAATTGTACATAAAATGCCGTTTTGCAGAATTTTAACTAATATCTATCCTAGTCTTTCTCAACATTAGCATCATAGATATGTAACACTTAAATGTCAAAAACAAAGTTCTGGAATTTTATGTGTGCACATTTGGATTTTTTTCTCTCTCTGTGTGTGTGTGTGTGTGTGTGTGTGTGTGACTATCAAGTGAACTTTCAGTCTGAAATATACTTTCTCCCATTTTTTCTTCTCAGCTATTATCAAAACTGCCCTTCCTAACATGGACAGAGAAGCCAAGGAGGAGTACCTGGTGGTCATCCAAGCCAAAGATATGGGTGGGCACTCTGGTGGTCTTTCTGGGACCACCACACTTACAGTCACCCTCACCGATGTCAATGACAATCCTCCAAAATTTGCACAGAGTAAGTTATTTGCCTTCATCAAATATGGTGTTTTCATTTGCATTAACATTACATCTCAATTTTCAATGACATTCAGAATTCGGTTAGTAAGGTATGCCTGTGTTTAAGTACACACACACACACACAGAGGGAGAGAGAGAGAGAGAGAAAGAATTGCAGTGGAGTTAACTGTAACTCATTCTTAACCTATGTGTGTCAGGTCAGAATTCACCTTAAAAAATTTTAGGTATCTAACTTAGGGCTGTTGTGCATAGGGTCGCTATGAGTCGCAAATGACTCAATGGCACATAACAACAACAACAAACAACTTTTCAGATTTTTTCTCAATGTCAAGAAAACAAAATTTTTACCACTGGACCAATAGGCAACATCGTGATGCATGAAGAGGAGACTGAAGCTGTCATCAGCTTCATCTTGCTTGGATCTACAATTAACACCTTTGGTACGAGCAGTCCTGAAATAAGAAGATGCATTTACCGGGAAAATCTGCAGTTAGGGGCCTTTCCAAATTTTTGAAGAGTAATGATGTTAGTTTGAGGGCTAAGGTGTGTCTGATTCAGGCCATAGTCTTCCCAATCACTTGTTATGCATCTGAGAGCTGGACAATGAATAAGGATGGCAGAAGAAGAATTGATGGCTTTGAGCTGTGGTGTTGGAAACAAGCCCTGAACATCCCATGGACGGCCAAGAGAACACACAGCTATGTCTTTGAGAGGGTGCATCCAGAGTGCTCTTTCGAGGCAAGACTGATGAGACCACCTCACATACTTTGGAAATATTGCTAGGAGGAGCTGTTCCTTGGAGAGGGACATGATGCTGGGAAGGATAGAGGATTGGCAAAGGAGCGGAAGACCCTCAACCAGCTGAATTGATACAGAGACTGCTGCAATGGGTTCTTGTGTGTCAGGAAGTGTGAGGATGGTGCAGGATAGAACAGGGTTCAGAACTTTTTTTTCATAGGGCCGCTGTGAGTCATGCTCTACTTGATGTGACCTAAGAACCATAACAACTTTTTCAGAAGTAGATCTTCATGTCTTTCTTCTGAGACACCGCTGGACAGACTCAGCCCCTCCACTTCTGGTTAGCTGAATGGTGAAACTTTTGTAGTCATACGTGCACATATTTGTACCAGTTAGGAAGCTCTGGTGACATAGTCCCTAGTGAGTTGTTGTTGTTGTTGTTATGTGCCATCAAGTTGTCCGTGACTCATAGTGACCCTATGTTCAACAGCTCTGAAGTCTGTCCTATTCTAAGCCAGCCTCACTGACTCTGTCTGACACACTTACCTTCATTACCCTGTCTAGGGTACCATTTCATCTCATTGAAGGTCATCCCTCTCTTGCACTGTCCCTCTATCCTTCTAAGCATGATGTCCTTCTCCCAGGACCAGTCCCTTCTGGCCATGTGCCCAAAGTATGTGAGACGCAGCTTCAAAATCCTTGTCTCCAAGGAGAAACTTGGTTTCACTCTCTCCAAGAGAGACCTGTTTGTTTTCTTGGCTTTCCATGGTATGTTCAAGACTCTACTCCAGCACCACAACTCAAAGGCATTGATCCTTCTTCTGTCATCCTGAGTCATTGTCCAGCTCTCTGAAGCATAACGAGTAATTGTGAAGACCATGGCCTGGATCAGGCACACTTTAGTCTCTAGACCAACATTGTTGCTTTTTGGTGCTCTGAAGAAGTCCTTGACTGCAGATTTTCTCAGTGCAATTCAGCGTAACTTTCTTGTAAGCTCAGAGAAATAACTGCTCTTTTTTGTTTCCTTATGGACTTCGATCCAAGTCATCAGCATAGATACATGATCAAGAGGGGTCTTTCTGGTATGCTTACTCTTGAACTGAGATGTGAAATAAATCTTTTGGAACAACGTGAAAGCAGGAGTACAGGGGTAGATATTGCCACCAAAGGAAACAGGAAGTACCGACAGCATATGGAAGATGGGTGGATGGCAGGCAGATGACTCAGCCTGAAAAGTAAAATAATTTCACTGCGGCTCTGACAGAGAAGACGTAGATGAGAGTGTAACGATAAGAAGAAGAGTTGTCGTTTTGGCAAAGGCAAGAGTCAGCCACATTTGGATTTACAGATTACGTTTGGTTCTATGATCACGGGGGAGTCAGGCAAAGATTTTTAAAACTATAGGTTTAGGAAATAGAATTAGTTGCATGAAAAACAGAGAAAACAGAAAGTAGTCTTCTCCACCTTGCATCCAGTAAAGTGTGTTTGTAATCAGTTACGTTGGATTAGATGGTGTCCTTGGCCAACAAGAATGGTAGCCATGAAAGCGAAGAGAAGTGGACAGCTAGAATAGGACCTTCAGAGTCGATAGTGACAAAAAGCTAAGAGTAGATTCTACTTTTAGTTGCAGAAAATGGAATGTCCTATTTCTGTATTGAGAGATTAGATGTATGCCGGAATAATTTGCTGGGATACAAAATTCCATAAACAAACCAAGATTTGAAGAGAAAGGAACCAGGGAAAGGAGAAAAGAAGAGAAAAGGATGAGATTATAAATTACATACTCAAGGTACATTTAAGAGTATGTCTGTGGAAATTCCAAGCCGGAAAGAATAGACTCTGGACTTTCATTAGACCCCTTTAGAATTTTCATGTATGACAATTTAGAAACCAGGCAGGAGAGTGATTTTCTTTCACCAAATTATTGAAATGAGAAAAGTCTTTTCTTCCTTCTCTCTTATCCCCCACTTTGCTTTTCTTTCCTTTGAATTTCCAGTCTAGTTAATGTTCTAATATGCAACTCTTCTCTCTCAGAAAATTATTATTTCTATTCAGTAACAGCAGAGATCTTTCCAAAGTGGTCTCTTTCTTAGGGGTAAAAACTGTTAGCTCTGATCACAGTGATAGAGACACGATGAGGGTAAGCAGAAGAGAAATGGACTCATAAATATCCCGTTTGCTTGGTTTCCCAGGGCTCTCTGATGCAGAACTGATAGGAAGGTGAGGTCCCTTGCTGACTTATTTAGCTAATAAGCATACCTGAAGGAATCATCTCAAACCTTTCTTAGAATATAAAGTTTGAAGGGAATAAAATCATCAAACCAATTAGGAGAGTTATGAGAGGAGAGGGAGCGTCGTGTCCAACATCATAATTTTCTCTGTCTTTCTTGTGGCAAAATTACTTGGAAAACATTTATTTAATTCCCCACACACATAAATTCAGCATTCTAAGACACATTTTTATTTACTCAATATTGGCTTCATTAAGCCATCATTACATCAAAATGTGTTAAAACCAGAAGTTGTCTTTCCATCATCTGAACCAGGCTTGGTATAGAAGGTAAAATGAACCAAGGGATTGATTCACTGAGCTCAAACTCAAAGTTGGTAATGTTCTCTCGGTTTTATTTTTCCTTTTGTGGTTTATCACTCATTGGGTGTTTATTTTTTCCCCCTTTGTTATTGTTACACTGGGATAAAAGCTTCCTAGTTATCTGAATTTTAGTTCCCCAGAAACAGATGCTGAGACAACAAATTGAGAACAAGGCTTTCAGATAATAGATGGTCCCAGGGAGGGACCGTTGAGGGAGGAAGTGAGGATAGAGCTCATAAAATGTGTGGTGTTGAGCCAGCTACCACTAGGGGTGACTGGCTCTTTACCCCGTTGAAGGAAATTTTGGAATATTTGTAAAGCATAGCTCAAAGCTATCTTACCGGAGAAAACAAGTACAGGGAATTTATAAACCCACATTTGTGAGTCTTTAAGGAGTGCTTTCATGAGGGCATTAATTCTCGAGCAGTTCTGGTCTGGCATTCAGTGGATGAAATGTGTTCTGAAAGCCAGAGAAAACCCCGAGGCAAAGAAACACAGGAGATGGCAGTTGAATATATGGCAGGTGGGCACCAAAGTGGTGATATCCAGGGGTTATGTTGGGAGGATCAATAGCTTCTCTCGGACCAATGAAAGTGAGTGATCCTAATGCATCAACTAAACGACTTTGAATAAGAACAGAAATAATGTCACTAATTAGACATGTTTTACTGCCCTCCGTGGAGACTGGCTATACGCTGTAATTATGTTTTGCTTGGAGAGATTTGAAGGTAGGGTGTTTGGTCCTCAGCGCAATGAGAACTTTTGTAACAAGAGGAGTGTTTCATGTGTATGAACAGCTTGCTGCAGGGCACAGCAGAAGTTTAGTAATTGGATTTTATCAAAAATGGTCGACAAGTCTGTAAATAAAAAGGTGAGTTCAAAAGTGACTTTCAGTGTGTGTTACACATTGCATCTCTCTGTGCTGAAATTAGCTTAATATTTTATGCTAGGAAACAATGAATAGTCCCAACGGCAACCCAGGAGGTTATACAGCAAATTGAAAAGAGCATTCACACATTCACTCAGTAACGCCCTGCTCTTAACTGTGTTCCAAATATCAACCTGGTCAACGTATAGTTGAACACATCCCATTTCTCAAGGAAGTCTTGAAGAAGCATCATTTCTTCTTCCTGCTAATTATTGGTTTCTGACTCATTTAATACATTCCGCAAGTTGTTTTCGTTGTTGTGTGCCATTAAGTAGGGTTTCAAAGGCAGTGAATTGCATGAGAGGAAATTGCCCAGCTTTCTCCCATGGAGCACCTGGTAGATTTCGAACTGTGTGCCTTTGTGACTGTAGCTTGCCTTCTTACCACTAGGCCACCAGAGCTCCAAGGGCAAGACATAATTCTATCTTCCATATCTTTATCAAGTAGCATCTACAATACTGTTCTGGGGGAAAGTGCTCAATATTTATTGAATGAATAAGGGAAGTGATGGAATGTGTGTAATCCTTCCTGTTTTGCCTTCCCCCCCCCCCCCAAGGTCTCTATCACTTCTCAGTCCCAGAAGATGTAGTTCTTGGTACAGCAATAGGACGAGTGAAGGCCAATGACCAGGATATTGGTGAAAACGCACAATCATCATATGACATCATTGACGGAGATGGCACAGCTCTCTTTGAAATCACTTCCGATACCCAGGCCCAGGATGGCATCATAAGACTAAGACGGGTAAGCGAAATAGCTCTCTGAAACCTGGATTTGGATTTGATGAGAGTTGAGTGGACTTCCTGATATGTAGAATTGGAGAGCTGGTTAAAGGTTTAGCTTCCTTTTTTAAATCTTTTAAAATATTTATTATTATTATTATTATTAATTTTAATGAAAATTTACAGAGATTTTGGATTTCCATTCATTCATTGTTGCACTTTTCTTCCCGCCCACCCCTCCCCTCCAGTTCGTTCTTCTTTTTGAAAAGTAAAAGAAAAACTCTTTCATTGTTAACAATCCTTCCACCCAAGTCCACTCCGCTATGCAGCCTTCATTCTGGACTCCTGTGGTTACAATAATACCTAATCACATATCCCTTTTAAACATTTCTCTCCCTCATCTGTTTCAGTGCAGTATCCTTTGATAGCTCAGTGTTTTTCATGCTTCATGTCCTCACAGTCCATCTTGCCTGTTAGCCACAATCCTGATTGGGCAACGAGCATGGGTGACGCTAGGCTATCATCTAAGCACACATTTTTTTTTTCCTCTGACTATGCAGTATGTTTCTGTAAGTTACAGGGATTTACCCAGCCCTGGGCAGAACAGTCTAGCTCCATGGGAAAATAACCTTCAATCGAAGGAAATAAAATTTGTTGGTTAATCTCAGTCCTTGGAGGTGTTAAAAAAAAAAAAAAAGCATTTTGTCTATTGTCTCTTAAGAAGAGTCTCAGCAGAAATAAACATCGGTTGCCCATAACTGTGATAAGATCGAATGGATTTGAATTCTTCTCTAGCTAATAATCTGCAGGTCTCTACACTGGCTCCTGGAGGCTACCTTCCCCCAGAACATTACAGCTTTGATATCCTTAGTTTAGACTCTGATTTCAGGGAAACAAGAGAGGACAGGTGAGCACAGCCTTAGTTAGATAACGTAGTTATCTGGAGAGAAAGGAGTAGGGACTGCCTTGCTCCCACTGAGTTCTCCATACCATGGGCCAAATGTGCAGGCATTGCTGAGATGAGGTTCCTCTATTCCTTGTGCTTATAAACACAGGGCTACTATTGGAGAGGCTAACTTCACTATCATTTGTAAAAATAATGAATGACAGTGTGGTGGGTGAGAAAAATGCAACAGGAAAATTCCATTTCTATCTCCCATTGGGAAATCTTGGTAAGAAAGGTGCAGTGCACACTTCATTATTTTATGAGCATAAGGCATTTGCAAGTAAAAACACTCTTTTATCTTCTTCATGATTACTTTGTTCAATATTGTTCTTCCTATCTCTGCCATAAAGTAGGACAAACCAATCTTTAAATAGATTTGCTTGTTCGTGAATAGGAGGATAGATGATCGTTTTCTCTATTGGGAGCCAGTGGTTTGTTTTTGGTTTTTTTTTTTTTTTTTTTACTTTTTTACCTCTGTCTGGATCAGCATCGCAATGACATGACCACAGGCTTTCTTTTGGATTTTCTCTAGAGTGTTTGCCAGAAATCTTCCTCTGAGGGACCTTCTCCCAGAATCCCTAGGCAGGGAACTAATGACAATAGGAATGTGGAGTTTCTTTGATAAACTTTTGTGGTGGTGATATTGGTGGTGTTTTGTGCCATCAAGTTACCTCCTACTCAAAATGAACCTATGCACACACAATAGCTCTGAACTCTGTGCTATCCTGAGCCACTCTCACTGTCTCCAACATGTCTTCCCCTATTACCCTGTTACCTCAATCACTGTGTCAGTCTGTCTTATCCAAGGTCTTCCTCTCCTGCACTGTTCCTTCACCCTTCCAAGCACTATGTCCTTCTCCAAGGACTGATCACTCCTGGCCACATGCCCAAAATATGAGAGATGGAGCTTCAAAATCCTTGCCTCCAGCAAACAAGTTGGTTTCACCCTTTCCACCACAGACCTGTTTGTTCTCTTGTGTACAAAAATAAATTTCAAAATCCACCATTAATTAATTTGAGCTTTTTTTTTCCTTCTCATGTTGGGTGACACCTGCATCATACTAGGATCCTGGCTTGAGTTGGGGACTAAAGAGTTGCAAAGTAATTAAAAATTCATGCTTCAAATCGATTACAGTACAATTATATTTGAGTCAATTATTGAATAACCCAGAGCCACATTATCCTTGACTAACGATTCCTAATGTCATTTTTTATTGTTATTATCCGCTATCTTTGGTTACTATATGGGGCTTTTATAAACTGAAGCAATTAGCGATCTGCTGTATTTTTAATCACTGTTCTTTTTCAGTTTAGACATGGTCTGTTTTCTGTGTGACTCTGTGTCCTGACACCGAGAACCCCATGTTTCCCTCCGGCAGGAAACGGAAGGGAAGTCATTGAGAGAGGGAGTCACCAGTTCGGGGTCCACATTGCTGTCTGATAAAATTCTGAGGACCCTCAGAGACGTGGTCTTTGCGTTGTGCTAACTTTGAAACAGAATTTAGTCTCTTACTTGATGCCTGATAGTGTTTGTGGACAATTCCAAACTGCAAAATCATTACAGTCAGGGTGATTGACCGATTGTGAATGTGCTCATTTTTGAATCATCTATTCATGGGAACAAGTGCTTAGTAATTTCAGAATAAATAGAGGAATAAGCCCCCTGCCTTATTTACCAGAAAATTTTAAGGGAGGGAAAGTCAATTCTCCTAACAGCTGAATTTAAAGATATAAATCCACACCAATTTTTCAAATTAAGAAGATACCTATTTAAGCTGGCGTGGAGATTCTGACCAGTTCACTAATGCCAGTTTCTGTTCAACTTTCTCCTTTATTTCGTTTCTTTTTTTTTTTTTTTAATCTGCCTTGCAGATTCAAAGTTGTATTTCTTATGAGAAATTGTATTACCGTGTTGCAAACTAATCTCGCTTTGAGCCTCTTTGAGATCTGAAATCCAATGAATGAGTTTGCCTGGGTTCTGATACAGAAGGGGGGAGTTCTTCTGGTTTTAAAGGACACCTTGGTGGCACAGTGATTAAAATACTCAGCTGGCAACACAAAGAGCAGCAATTTGCATGTACCAGCCAGCCATTCTGTGGGGAAAAGCCACACCAGTCAGCTTTGGTAGAAACGTACCGGCTGAGGATTCTCGTGGAGAAGTCCCACTGTCCTGCGGTGTCTCTGTGGCTGGATTGACTTGACAGCAGCGCTCTGGATTTTGTTGTTGTTGTTGCTGTTGTTTTAAAATGCTTTTGGTTTCTGTATGGTTCTACCTAGCTCTTTTCTTAACCTAGGTCATTAACTGCAGTCTCTGGGACTTGTAAGAAACGAAGTAGTACAGTAATATGTTAGAAACATTGTCAGTAATGGTGCAGTGAGGTAATTTCAGATGCTTGTAAGTGGTTGGAAGGTGTGGGCAGCCAGACCTGGAGAGCTCTTTGTATGCTTCTCACTCATCCCTCATCTAAATAGAAAGCCGAGGAGATATACATCTCCATACGTCTTTCTTCAGAGACCCGTGTAATACCTTCGAAGAACACCCTTTAAAAAAATAATCCTAAACCTCGTTTTAGCCTCATGATCAGCAGAGCAGCTAGCTATGCCTCAGAAGAGAAATAAGAAAACACTTGTTAAGATTACGGCGAAATTATGCTTTATAATGTCTCCTTGGACTAAACAATGATTATTTCTGGTTCTTTACAATTCACACACTGTTGCAGAAATGATCAAATATTCTTCCCCGATAGACACTGCGTTCGATGCTGCCTTATCTCCTCCTGGCAGTGGCCCGATTAACTGGCTCGTTGGTATGCAGGTCACGCCGCCACTAGTAAAATTTTATTATGACTCTGAAGTGAAATTTTGATGGCACAGTTCATGACTGTGAATATTTTGTGAATTCCAAGCGAAATGAGCAAAACAACACAAAACAATAGGAGATTAGATTCACTGAGCTTGTATGTAATAAACATATATCAATAAATGCCGGGGAAATTTACAGGTCTGACCAGGAGGGATGGCGAGCGATCCTATTAAGGTCCACGAATGAGCTTAAAGGCACATAACTTTCATCCATCAGCATTAGATTCATTTGTTCTTTCTGCTGTGGTCATTAGTGAGAAACATTCATCTTTGTCATTTCTTAACAGCCTCTGGATTTTGAGACCAAAAAATCCTATACGCTGAAGGTAGAGGCAGCCAATATCCATATTGACCCACGTTTCAGTGGCAGGGGACCCTTCAAAGATACAGCCACGGTCAAGATTGTGGTTGAGGACTCTGACGAACCGCCCGTCTTCTCGTCACCAACTTACCTCCTTGAGGTCCATGAAAATGCTGCCCTCAACTCTGTGATTGGCCAAGTGACAGCTCGTGACCCTGATATCACCTCCAGCCCTATAAGGTAATTTCTCTTTGCAGAAGGAGCGCTAACCAGTGCCAGTGACAAGCCGGTCAGTACAAAATGCAATCCTGCATGTACTCTGGGGGATGAATTGGGGCATGCTACTCAGATGACAGAATGATTCTAGTCAACGAGTAAGACAGTGTTTGTGACTAGGTATGTGTGTATGTGCGTGCAGCCAGCCTCCAAGAGCAACAGGAATAAGACACAGTGTCCATTCAATTGACAGTGACAACTATCTCTGTCAGAGGACCAAACATTGAATGCAAGGGGAGGCATGTGGGGGAGGAAGAAATGAATTTCTCTAATAACTCAGTGCAAACACAAAATTTCAGAATTTTGGGGTCAGTATTTACTGTGTGTGTGTGTGTGTGTGTGTGTGTGTGTGTGTACATTTGTTTTCTCCAGCATTGCTGGTTTGTCCTCCTTGCCCTGTGACAGTTACAGTAAATGATACATGTGAAGTTAAAGGCAGGAGCCCACTGTCTCATCCCATAAAGAAGCTGCCCTCTTATTTCAGTATTTATTCAGTATTTGGCTTTGTGGCCATTTCTGATAGGTCAGTATAGCGAGCTTGGTTTCTTTTAGACAAAATTTTGCTTGGCTATTTCAAAAATCCCTTTACTTATACTCTCCTTGCTCTAATTTTTTTTTCTTTTCTTCTTCTGACTGAGAAATCATCTTGTATTAAAGTTTTGTCTATTTTAGAAGTGAGCCTCAATTCTGTCTTATTTTTTTTTTTCTCCTGGCTGAGCTGCACATATCTTTTCTCATGTGCCAGTCACCCAAATGACAATACTGTGCTCAAGCTAAATAGCTTTCTTCTAAAAGAACACTGAAAATCTATAACTTGCCCATTGGTCTCCAAGGGTGAAGGGTTGGCTAATGATGTGTTTGAGTGTGGATTTCAAATATTGTCTTAGAAATGTTTGTTGTAAAAGAAAAGAAAGAAGAATGAGATGGAAGGGTATGGTTTTAAGGAATTGTTCAGTTTAATGTATGAAGTAGGTGTCAGATCGCCTCCAATCAGTCACTGTCCGTTCAAGTTACTGGTGCCTGGGTCAGACACTCGTCTAATTATTCAGAAAATCGTTAGACAATTAAGCTATCTCAATTTCATTTGTTTGCTTCTCTTTATGTTGTAAACTTCCATTAGTCATAAGGGGGCTGAATCCCAGAAGATCAGTCAGTGCCTCAAATAACTTGTGTTTAGCCAAAAATATAGTTCTTTTCAGATTCAGCAGAGCTATTTTCAATAAGCTATTTCTAAACTGTAACAAATAAGAGCACCACCCATGGGGATAGAAAGCAAGCTTCCTGAAGAAGAGTCTGACCTTTAACAAGACAAACTTCAGTGAGGATATGAGGAATGGTCAGCTGGCCATTCTCAGAGTTAAAGGAATGCAGCGTGCTGGGAACATACTAAATGCCCCTGACTTAGCTAAGACAATGGTGGTTATTGTTATGTGCTCTTAAGTCAGAACCAACTCGTGGCTGAATCTGCAGGGGATTTTCAGAGGCAGGGAAAGAATAGACTGTGCATCATTCTTCCATGGAGCCGCTGATGGCCTTGAACCACGTGGCTTTGAGATTGCAGTACAGCTTCTTGCCACTAGGCCACCAGAGCTCCCTTAGCTAAGACAGTGTTGTTGTTGATTGCCTTCCAGTCGAGATTGACTCATAGCGACCCTGTGAACAAAAGGTTTGAAGCCACTCTACAGCAATCGACAGTTATCAAAGTTCATAGCGTTTCTGGAGGCATGTTATTTAGGAAGTGGATGCCACTTCTTGCATTCAAAAAGTGGCCCTTTGATAGGTACTGTTGTTGTTGTTATTATGTGTCATTGAGTCGTTTGCGACTCATAGCGACCCTATGTATAAGAGCCCTAAATGCCGTTCTATCCTGTGCCAACCTCACTGTCTCAAACACATTCATTCCCACCACTCCAATCACAGAATCAATCAATCTCATCGAGGGTCTTCCTCTCCTGTGCCGTCCCTCCACTCTCCCAAACGTGATGTCCCTCTCCAAGGACCAGTCCCTCCTTGCAACATGCCCAAAGTATGTCAGATGAAGCTTCAGAATCCTTGACTCC